CCTCCTCCTCCTCCTCCTCCTCCTCCTCTTCCGTTTCTTCTTCCTCCTCTTTAGGTTTGTCTCATTACCAATCCAATCCCTCTGGGCGACACCAAACCGCTGCTGCTCTTCCCTAATCTTTGCAACCAAACATGCTTCTTCCGACCTCCTCATCAAAGTCTCTGACCAACGCTCCCCTGGCCTCGCCATGCACCTGCCACTAGGATCCTGAAATTTTCCAACATACTCATGATGCAAATACGGCTCTCGCTCCCTCATGGCGTCCTCTGAGAAATACTGCCCATCAGATATCAGTTTGTTCAGGTAAGCCAGTCTCCGGTTCCTCACCACGACGGTCCTTGAGCGCAACTCTTCTGAAGTCGGATTTAGCTTCCTCCTCAAATCCTTCAAGTGCCAATTTACCTCATAGTCATCGCTGAGTGCATCGAATTCCCGTAGCTCCTCAGAAGTCAATTGAGATCCATATCGTTCTGGATTAAACATATGAAATAAAAATCAATTTTACGCCGGTAACCTGACATTTCTGTTTATTCATCTAATCGCCCTCAAGAAAACATATATAAACCGACTTATACAAGGTTAATTAAGATAATAAATATGAACAAGGAATTTGCCGAATTTACCTTCATTTCTCATTTATTTCAACTGAAACTCCATTTTGTTCGAAACCTAGTAAAGAGAAAGAGAGAGCGAAAGCGAAAGAGAAACAGGGAGAAGAAGGTGAGATTACCAAGAAAAACAGCGACATCGCGGGAGACCAGGTCGAGAAGGAGAGATTTACGGTGGGAAGGCGTGAGAGCGGAAGGTTGAAGAGCGCGAGGGAAGTAGAGATCATCGATAGACGATAGCCTCTCCGTTATGCTCTCAATAGCTTCCTTCTTTATCGTTCTCTGTGTTTCCATCTTCTACTGTATTCAATTCAGGGCCAGCTCTGTCTTCTATACCAGAACGAGAAGAGTTTATCAATTTGTACCCTTCGTCGTTTCAGCCCGTATGCCCAACGCTTTATAGGTAAGGATGAGTCTGTATTCTTCATTCCAATTTTTTTCAATTTGTAAATTAAATTGGTTAAATATTATTTCTCTTTTTATTATTATTTAAAAATAAACACTTCAAATTTCATGGGTTGTGAATGTTTATGTATCTTCCCAATTTTTTACTTTTTTCCTTTCATTATATTTTAACTAATTGTATATTTTTATTATATTTTTATAATTTTATAATACTTTTAATTTTTTTTAAAAAAATTAATTGTTATATTTTTAAAACATATCTAAATAAGTCAACCATCCTAATATAACTTATTAGTTATATTAACCATTATAAATTGATGTTTGTTACTTTTAGATCCTCTTCCTTTATGATGCATATACCACCGATCACATTCCAACCGCACTACATTATTTTGCACCAAATAAGTTTTATAATATTAATTAACACTCCAATGTAGTCTATGTAACATGTATTCTCATCTACTTCTATCTTTCGTAATGAACTTTAACAATTGATAAAATAGTTAAAATAGTAAAAAAAAAAACCTCATTTATCAAGACCGTATAAAAAACTAATAAGCTATCATAGTAGACTGATCTCTTTAATTACTGTCAACTAAATAATTTTTACCTATTAAAAAATCATGAGATAAAAATATATTCAAATAATTTTTAATTAAAGAAAATAAGAGATAGAATGGAGATTGTACAATGAATCAATACTAATTATAAATATTTTACCTGCAATTGAGAATAAAAGTTTAGACATAGATAATCTTTTACTTACATTATTTTTAAACAATTGATAAAACTCTTTTTCATATCTTTTTTCAACACTTTCATAAGTTACTTACCCAAGTTCCTCTTAATAAGACCAATAGATAGAACACATCAAGTATACCATTTAATCTTTTAAAAAGAACATGTAAGAAATTAGAAACTTTGCATACTTACTTTATAAATTCTAAAAGTTTGTCATTATTTTTTAATATATAAATCCCTTGATTATTTTTAATTTTACTATGCTCAACTCAATATATTTTCTCCTAAGCAAAAGTTTACCAACTTTTTGGAAAACATTCAATTTTGAGGAAAATGAATTACCACATTCATCGCAAGTTCTTCCAACATGGTTTTACCTCGTCTCAACTTTGTTAATGTAATGTGAACTTTTGTTCACAACTTCTTAAACAATAGAAGCTTTAGCAATTAACCCTTCACGATGAGTTTTATTTCTCACATATGATTTTGAGAGACGTAAAAAAATTCAATATGATACATCTATCGATATTGCACTAGTCTAACAACTTTCACATCCCATGCTAAGTAAATAGGCAAGTACATCATTATGAGATAAACGATGAGGAAATTTTCTTTCTAATATACATATGGTTACTAAAATCAACTTTTTGAGTTGGTCTAACTTGTTCATATATAAAGTTTTCACATATAATTCACGAAAAAAAAGTGTTTACCTCAACCAATGTTTCAAATATCTCTTTACTTAGCACACCTCATATAGCTAGAGAAAGATATTAATGTAAAAATACGTAAGAGTCATGATATTCCATTCCATAAATCTTGCACTCTTTAGTGTTTACACATCGAGAAATATTAGAAGAATAACCATATGCAACTTTCAAGTTGGTTAAAAAGTCACAAAATGCTTATTTATCATCAAATAACATAGTGTAACATTATGATTAAATAAATATTTACCATTATTATTAAGAGTTGCATGAAGTTCATATCATATACCCATATATTCTAAATCAAAATGAGCATTTATATGGTATTGTGCCTTACCTTTGAGATTAAGTAGTGTTTCAAGCACACTTTCAAACACATTGTTCTCAACATGCATAACAACCAAATTATGTCAAAGTTTAAAATCTTTTCAATATTTTAATTTAAAAAGTACTTTTTTCATCTAATTACCTAGAAATAGATTCTCTCCATGTTTTCTTTTCCTTGTTCCTTTACTAAAAGTCACATGATTATTCAATAAAATAAGTAATACAATAAAAATAATCTTTAATAAGCAATTAAAAAGTTTGAAATAATAAATAATGACATTAATTCAAATTATTATATGATCAAATTGTTTGAAATGTTCAATGATGTCATATCCTGATAATCATGAAGGAGTAAAACGTCTTTTTCTTATACCATCAAATGATTTTGCATAATTTCTCCAATTATTGTGTTATAGCAAGAAGTCCCAATGATCCATGAAAGATTTTTTTTTTGACAATTTGGACGTCTAATAGGGCAAGTTTCTATATGACAACAAGGACATTCTAATTTTCCTTTAGTACTCCATCCTAACAAGTTAG